CCGAGGCCAGTCATAGTCAGTAATGGTCAATTGTTATTCCATGCTGTTCCTTTATATGCTTTAATTGATTCTGAGCTACCTATCTTTTATATCTAGGGATGATAGAGAGATTAAATGTGAAACCTACTAATGAGTCAACCCATTAAGATAGATTACCTATGGGGTGAATGTTGACTCAGGAATGTTATTAGAAGTCTTAGTGATCTAGGGTCGGGAGTTAGCAGTTGACTTAATAGTTTTTAATATGCCGACTTTGATGTATATTGGGCATGGATTTCCTAGGAGGTATGGAGTAGAAATTGATTGTCGAAGAAGAAAGCAGATTTAATCTCGATAGTGGAGATAAGTTTAGTTTTGGAGAGGGCCATCAGTTAGCATGTTGATTAGTAGTGTAAAGGCTAGAAGATTTGAGAAAGGGTGTTCTGGATACATTGCTCATGTAGTACATAGTGGTGATGTTCCACAGTAGAAATTCAGAGGGTGCGGTAGTTTGAGAATTTTAGATGTGTTTTCGAAGACTTACCAGGTTTGCCGTCGGAAAGAGAGTAGTTTAGTATTGAACTAGCACCAGGAACAACACCCATATCTAAAGCCCCTTACGAATGGCCCAGCAGACTTCAGGAATTAAAAAGCAACTCAAAGCTTTTGATAAAGGTTTTATCCGACCGAGTCATTCTCCCTGGGAGCCCCAATTCTGTTTGTAAAGAAGAATGACGTCACTACGGATGTGTATTGATTAAGAGAGCTGAATAAGGTGACAGTGAAGAATAAGTACCAGCTACCTGAATAGATATTTGTTTGACCAGTTGAAGGAGAGCAGTATTCTCCAAGATTGATTTGAGGTCAGTGACCATCAGGTAGAGTGGCGAGCAGGATATAGCTAAGACTGCTTTCCGTACAAGGTATGGCACTATGAGTTTGTAGTGATGCGTTTGGCTTGACAAATGCCCCAACAGTTTTTTATGGATTATGAATCGGTATTCCATGATTGCTCTGATCAGTTTATGGTGGTTTCTTGATTGAATTCTGGTTTATTCTAAATCGAGAGAAGAGCATAGGACATTTGAGAATATGCTGCAACGGTTGAGGAAAAGCAGTTGTATGCTAAATTTTCTAAGTGTGAGTTTTGGCTCGACAGTAATATTTCTGGGCCATACTGTGTCTAGGAAGGGATTTCAGATATCCGGTAATTGAAGGCACTTGAGTGGCAGAGGCCGAAGACAGTAAGAGGTCCAGTTTCTTAGGCCTGGCATGACTACAGACGATTTGTTGAAGGGTTCCCCAGTTGCTAAACCATTGAACTCTTACCAAACAGAAGATCCGTTTGTATGGTCAGAAGCTTGTGAGAATGTTTTCCAAAGTTGAGAGAGGTTAACAACACTCCAGTGTTAGTGTTACCATAGAGGGTGTAGATTATGATATTATACGGATGCCTCATTGCAAGACTTGGCGCGGGTTTAATGCAGTTACGTAGGGTAATAGCTTATGCCTCTCGGCAATTAAAGAGTATGAGACGAGATACCCTAGCATGACTTAGAATTGGTGGCCGTGGTCTTTGCCTTAAAGATTTGGAGGCCATTACCGTTATGTGATTTCATCTAAAGCCTCCTAAGGTAAGGATTCTTGCTTTAGATATAAATTTGCTTATAGTTGTGTTGAAGTCTTATATTGTTATTGTTATTGTTTAAAGTTGTAGAGAGAAGCTAGGCTACAAAAGGGAAGGAGAAGTGTTAGAGAAGCCACTTATTCACAAGGTAAGTAAATCCAACCCATGTTGAGATTTAAGAACTCCTTTGAGTAGAGATTTATGTATGAATGTGTATGTATTATGTTTGTTGAGATGAGATGTGATGAGATTATTAGTTATTGATGAGTATTGAATATATTGGAATATGAGAAGTGTTGAGATTTTATGATGTTGAGTTGAGTTTTGATTGAAGTTGAAGGAAGTTTTGAGCAAACCCTATAGGAGTTGTTTGATGAAATGCTCAAGAGAAGCATGAGTAAGAGTAGAAAGCCTTAAATTTTGCTACTTGGCATAATTGCATTTCATGAGTGCATTAATGAGCATGAGTCATCCATATGCATTAATTGCATTAGAGAAAGAGAGTAGAGAAAGAGTAGAGGAAAAAAAGAAAAAAGAAAAAAAAGAATAGAGTAGATTGTGCGATAGGGAACCCATGAGTATGGGTAGAGTTTTCCCGTATGTACGCCACAAAGAGAGAGAGCGGCTTGAGTATGAGAGAAAAGTGGTGTAGCCCGTGAGAGTACATGCGGATAAGGGCTATACCCGAGAGTACCTGAGAGAGAGAGTTTATACACTCACATGGCCAAGGGTTCCGAATCCATGCATAACCGAGTCCGATCGACGAGAATGAGTAGAAGTCACGGAGAGCGGGAGTGAGTCCAGGCCATGCCTCCGGTAAGATGAGGCCATGACTTACAAAAAAGAGTTAGTAGAAAAGAGTTATGAGAAAGAGAAAATAGAGAGAAGTATAAAAGAGAGAGTAAATGAGAATTGTAAGAAAAGAATTAGAGAGAGTTATGGGGATAGATGAGTAGAGGATTTACTTATTGAGCATTGTTTTAGTGCTCATCCCGTTGTTTCCTATGTTTTTGCAGGATCTAGGTGAGGACACGGTCGGATGGACGTCGGCACGCGAGGAGAAATGGTTACATTGTCCACCATGTTTTTGATAACTTTTGTACATGATCCAATTTTGTGTAAAGAATGTATATGTTTAATAAAAGAAAAATTTGGGTCCAACTCTTTATACTATCTTATATGTATTTTCATTATATATATTTTTGTGAGTATTTGAGTAGGAAGCAGCTATTACAGTTTTCTCTTTCTATCTCTAACTTTCTTTAGGGTCTTTATCGCTCTAAATCCACCCCAAAGTTTGTAAGTTAATAATAATAATAAAGGAAATGGTGTTTGCTAAATACATATTCTGAACTCTTAGTTTACTCTAGCGAGGGTTTGATTGATCTTTAAACTTCAAACTATTTAATTAGATGATCTTTTATACAACTTCAGGAACTGTTATTTATATTACAGTCAGGAATCTGTGCACTATTGAAAGCCAAAATCTCAGTAGCCACCAATCTCTAAGCTTCAATCGCATCAAAATTTGTGGATTTGTTCAATATAATAATTAATAACACAGGATCTTAGAAGTGGTGGGTCTTTTAGATAATTATCCAATTGAAAACCCCCACGCTACTCTCTTTAATTATATGCTTGAACTTGTGGTGGAGAATATTTTGTTAATTACTTTTGTGATATAGATGAGAGATTAAGAAGATTCCAAATATTTGTGAAGGAGGAAAGTAAATCTTGACAAAGAGGAGACAATGAAGAAATTTTTGCTTAAGAAGAACGTTGAAGAAATTAATTTGTTTTTTTTTTAATAATATAAAAGAATGAAACCTACATGCCTCTAAAGTTTAATGATTACGCATTATGATTATCTATAATTAGATTGGCGTATTAAAATAATAATATTCTAACAGTAAAAATAATTGGAATTTTATTCTTTTATAGCAATGAGTGTGTAGTCCGATCCATCTCAATTATTCCTATCCCAAATCCAATCATTCATTTCTTGAAGTCAAGAAGTCGTCAAATCAAAATTATAATCAGTTTCACATTTTTACTGTATAAAAGTAATATTTGTCAAATTTATAAGTTGTGTGTGCACATATAATCTGTCTGCATACTAACTGTCAGACTAGTCTTGGTTTGTTTCGTTTAGAGTGTGTGTATATAATAGTTTGTGCTAGCACGAGTTGCATGACTGAAAAAGTAAAAAATATATTGTTTATCTTTATCTCTCACTTTTTAGGACCTTTTTACATATGTCATAACATCTTTAAGTGGTCTTAAAGAATAAAGTATTTTTCTCAATTTGCTTTGTGGTCCAAACCAAGAAGAAGAAAATTTTTCTTTATTTGGACAAACATGCATCAGTCCCTTGTTGGTTGGTTTGACACTATATTGTTGAGTAAGAAATTCTTCATTATATAATTCTCCTTCTTGCATGTATGAATCTAACATTTTGACAATCTGTTTGGTTGCACTTTGATTCTCTTAGAGTATTTTTCTTTCTCTCAAGGTTCAAGATTCATTTCCATATTTTGTGTCAAAACCTCACCATATCAAACACGTTATTGATGACTTTTAGAACATGATTCCCTTGTTGATGCTGGTGCGTGGCATCAGTGGTTGAAGCTTGGTGGTTCACAAGCTGCTCACGGGTGTGTTCCCGGTGTAAAGAAGATCCGAAGAAGTTGCTACATATTAAGGATTAAGTGTTAAGTGTAAAATTGAACATGAAGTTCTTTTTACTATAACTTAAATCAGCTTTGAACTATATTTTGTAATGTGTTTTTAACTTAGTGAATTGCTTTGATCTGGACAAGGTCTTATGGATGTAGACTAAAAGTGGATTTAGTCAAACCATATATATGACCGTATTCTTTATTTTCTACATTTGTGTTTGATATATTCAGATCGGAAATGTTTAATTTACTTAGTAAATATTTTACTGCACTTAAAATACGTAACTACACTCTCTAAGTTAAATCTCCAACTCTCTCTCCCCAACGTTTATATTATTATGAATATAGCTTAAACACCTTGCTTTGACTTGTACGGCGGAGCAAAGTCAATTAGACTGTTGTCGAATCACATTAAAGCCATTAATTCATTCAATTTTAGTCGTAAGAATAATTTATTCATTTCATTTTCCCTGTATCATGATTTGTCAAGCATTTCGTATTAATATAATCAAATGAAATTTTAAATTTTTAAATAGACTACACTATTAAATTACCCGCACATTCTCATTCTTCAGTTGTGGCGTAATTGCAAACGACACTATCCAGCAGGTACATGAACTAATAAATACTCAAAATTACACCTTTGCCCTACCCTACATGCATGCCTTTAAAAGCAACTTGATTTCCTAGCTTTTCCCATCATCGTCAACAAAATTTTCTCTTTGTAAAGATGAATAATAAGTATTCTTGTTCGAGTTTAATTTGGTCATACTTTCTTCGCTTGTTTTACAGAGTGAATTCTTTCTGGATTCATCTCTGTTACTTCGTATCTATCTCTTTTGCAGGATACTTAGCCTTGAGGTTCCCAAGGCCAAGAACTGCGCCCTCCTTTAGGCCTAAAAGCTTTGATTTATTCTTCACTTCTGTCTCTGCACTGACAAATTCTAGCATGTCTACCGTCGAAATGGAGGTTTTCTCTAACTTTCAACTCATTGTTATGATCATTTTGATGTCCATAGGTGGGGAAGTTTTCATGTCCTGGCTTGAACTTCATATAAAATCCAAATTTCCTAGAAAAATATCCATTGAAAACAACGAAGTTGAGCTTGGTTTGGCCTCTTTTTCATGTCCACAAAATGAGAATTCCAATTCCAATACTATTTCCTCAGAAAAAATTAGCAAGCCCCCCTCAATCGATAGTTCAATCAGGATTTTGTGTTCTGTCATATTAGGTTATCTTTTTGTCGTTCATGTAGGCGGAATCAGTATATTTTTATTGTACGTTAGCCTTGTTGGAAATGCAAAAGAAGTTCTAAAAACCAAAGGTCTTCAACCGCTAACATTTTCTGTTTTCACAATCGTTTCCACTTTCTCAAACTGTGGCTTCGTCCCCACAAATGAAAACATGATCGTTTTTAAGAAAAATTCAGGTCTTCTTTGGATTCTAATTCCCCAAATTCTCCTTGGAAACACATTGTATCCATCTTGCCTGCGACTTGTCATCTGGGTTTTGAATAAAATCACAAGGCGAGAGGAGTTTGAGTACATGTTGAGGAATCAGAAAGAGATGGGCTACCCTCATTTGTTCTCTAGTGTTCGTTCTTATTTTCTCGGAGCTACTGTTTTTGGGTTCTTGTTTGTGCAGTTTGTCCTCTTTTGTTCCCTGGAATGGAATTCGGAAGCCATGGATGGTCTGAATTTCTACCAGAAAGTGGTTGGTTCATTATTTGAAGTGGTTAATTCGAGGTACACCGGCGAATCTGTGTTTGATCTGTCCATACTTTCTTCAGCAGTGCTGGTGCTCTTTGTTGTTATGATGTAAGTTCTTCACTCTCCCTTTATTCTCTCTGTATAATATTTTTATTTTCGAAATTTAATGATTGATATGTATATCATATATTTTCCGTATTTTTTTACCTTATAATTATATAAAAGATTTATATAATTTGCCCATGAAAGATATTTTACTGATAATAAAGTAATTAATTTGTTTCTGAAAGGATGATCAATTTGTCAGTTTTGTATTCTCCCAAAAAGAGAAAAAAAAAGAAATAGAAAAACAAACCAAATTTTGTCTTCGAAAGTGTTTGAATACTTTCTGAAAAAAAGATATATTTATCAATTACTTTATGAACCTATAGTAATATAAAATAATGAAAATTCGATCGATTTTTCTAGTTACCTTTATAAACATTCGTATTGAAGCATTTATATATAGTCAGTGGTGAAGCAACTTTATAATTTGGATTCTATAGATCATTTTAGAACAAGTTGTGGGATAATTAGTGGCGCACCCAACGCCACTGCCTATATACTGGATTCTCGGTAACCATTTTAGAAGCTTTCTGGCAAAAGCTATGCAAGTGACTATTTGCCAATGGGGCATGAAGTCATGCCATAATAATCAGTGGAAAGTCACAGTATAACTGTTTAATATTAAAAAAGCTGTTTAAACTAGTAAATTAAGTGATGAAAATAGGGTTGAACGTATAGTTTCTCTCTATACAAAAATTTGAAGTTTTTCACTTGCAGATCGAAAGTCAACAACTAAACATTGACTTTACAAAATTGCAAAAGCAAAGACATCGAACTGACTGTTGGCCTATAGCCTAGAAAACCTGTATATCTTAGAATTTTTAGTTAAACATGCATACACTAAGAATTTTGAAAAATTACAAGTAAAAGCTTTTCAAGATAAGCTTATTACATGATATGCTTATGGTAAATATCATAATAAAAATATTAGTTCTATAATATCTTTATATTAAATGAAACGGATCTTATTATTTAAATTTTTGACCCTTAATATGGGATGACATCTTTGAATTAAATTTTTTACAACAATTCTCAAACCATAAATGGGATGAGATCGTTAACGGTGTGTAAAAGTAGATCTATTAAAAACATGTGAGTCTTACTTGTGTTTCTTTATATAAGGAGAGATCTAACCATTCAATCTGTGTAGGTATCTCCCACCTTATACATCATTTTCACCAAGAATATATCAAGAAAAGGATTCGGAAAATTGGAAACCGAAAGAAAATGAAAAGAAGGGTTTTGTGGAGAGTCTGATATTGTCACAACTTTCCTATTTAGTCATGGGAATCATCATAATCTGCATGACTGAGAGAGACAAAATTAAGAACGACCCCCTCAACTTCAATGTGTTAAACATCACATTAGAAGTTATGAGGTGAGATTAATTATTAATTTCTCTTTATTGATTATCAATCTAGGCAAAAAATTCTAAAAGAAAATTATATGTTTATTGTGTAGTGCATATGGGAATGTTGGGTTCTCAACTGGGTACAGTTGTAAACGGCAACTGAAACCTGAAAGCCCCTGCAAAGATACTTGGTACGGATTTGTTGGAAGATGGAGTACCGGAGGAAAATTAATGCTCATTATAATCATGTTCTTTGGAAGGCTAAAGAAATTCAACATGAAAGGTGGTAAATCCTGGAAGCTCTCCTAGCTACTAGCAAGTCTTTAATTCTCTGGTATAGATGTAATTTGCAACCGGGGAGCAACGTAGTGTAACCTTAAGTTGTTGACTTCTAGCGTTATTATAATATAATGTAATGTAGCTTTTCAGCTTTTTCTTGTGTTGTAGGACTCGGAGAAGAGATAATTATTAATGTAGTTCTTTAGTTTTCGGATCATAGTAGTCTCACAATGCTCAACTAGTGAAGTCTAAATTTAGAGTCAATTAATGAAACTGCTTCCACAAGTAATAGAAAATAGTTCTCGGAAGTTCTATATGATTTACTTGATGTTGATACCATTTCTTTATCTCATGAGATATCATCATTTGTGTACATAGGACTAAAATATTTAAAAATTATTCAGAAATAAGCCCTGAAGAAGTAAAAGAAATTATAATTGTATTCATTGTAGAGAATTTTTTTTGAACAGTAAATTTCATAAAAGACAAAAAACTATACAGAATATAGAATATTTATTTTAGTCAAACTTATGAATTGTGTGTGCATATAATAGTTATGTGTGGACACTTGCTGCCGATTCTTTTATTTGACTTGTCTCATCTATTGTGTGTGTGCACATCATTTCTTAGTACACACAGTTTGCCAGATATGAGTCTTGACCTATTTCGTCTCAAGTGTGTGTGCACAATGGTCTGTGCTCATACTCTCGCTTCAAACTCTTTGCAACCCGACACGAGTTGCATGTCAGATAAAGAGAAAAAGATTGTGTTTATCTTTGTTTCTTGATATTTAGGACCTTTCTACATGTGTTATTTTTCTTAAATGGTCCTAGAGAATGAAGTTATCTTTCTCAATTTGTTTTGTGGTCCAAACCAAAAATAAGGAATTCGTTCTCTCATTTGGACAAACATGGGTCATCTCCTTGTTGGCTGACGTGGCACTGTTTTGTTGAGCAAGAAATCCTTCTTTATATAATACTCTTTCTTGCGTAAATGAATCTAACATTTTGATCTCTTGTTTTCATTTTACTATGAATTTCTTAGAGTATTCTTTTTCTTAAAGTTCAAGGCTCATTTTCCATTTTGTGCCAAAATCTCACCATATCAAACATAGACTTGATGATTGTTAGAATGTGGTTCCTCTGCTGATGCTGGTGCGTGGCGTCGGTGCTTGAAGCTTGGTGGTTTACAAGCTGCTCTGGGGTGTGTTCCCGGCAAGAGGAAGCTCCAAGGAGTTGCTACACATTAAGGATTCAAAGTGTGCTACTAAGTGTAAAGTTGAACAAGGAGTTCTTTTTACTGTAACTTAGATCAGCTTTGAACTATTTCTTGTAATGTGTTTTAAACTTAGAGGATTGCTTCAATCTGTAGGCTAAAAGTGAATTTAGCCGAAACATGTATATGACTGTATTCTTTACTTTCTGCACTTGTGTTTGATGTGGCTAAAATCTGGAAATGTCTTAATTTACTTGGTAAATATTCCGCTGCACTTTAAAATGGGTAATCCAAAACCAAAGTCGTTTGACCAATCCCCAACACAGAAAACTAGAGACATACCTCCAAAAGAGGTCTAAAAAAGACCAGAACAGATGTATCCATCTTTTTGGTCTAAAGGATGGGAGCAACTGCTCAAAAAGGAGTATGCAGGTTCCAAACAAAGGAAAGAGATGGGCACAAACACCCTAACGGAGCTCACAGGCTTAAACCAAGCAAAAAAGATAAATGAGAATAGATATCCAATAAGAGCATACAGGCTTAGAATAATCAAGATCAATTGTTGAGAACTTAATTGTTGATAAATTGGAAGTGATTTCAAAAGACATAAGTTGGTGCCAAATTAGATAGGTATAGTCGGTTGATTAGCTAAATTTATTATTCTCTCGACAAATAATTAATAATACTGACCGTTGGATAATGACAAGCACAAGTCACATGGCTTGTCGTCCCTAATAATAGCAATCAGACTCCAATCATTCTTTTCTTTATGATAAGTCTTATTGACCCAAAATGATGGCATTATTTTCATTAATAATGTTACATTATCTCAGTTCTTGTCTCAGTTTTCTAATTATAATTGATACCTTGTCCATATACCACATATAATGATAACAAATGAGAAGATGATGTGATCATGTCTACCAGTTACTTTTATTTGATAATTACTTCTGAGATCCTTCTTACATCATAGGAGTTGTTTGCACTTCTCATGGCTCCAATTTTATGTTATACATAAAAATCAGAGTTGATATAAGCTTACATCAGTAAGACCAATCAAAGTTTAGGAAGATATTGCATCATCCAAGAGCTGCCACGTCACCCCAAGACAGATAGAACACGGCTGTTATCAACCCAACAGATTTAGGTTTTGTCTATAAGTGAACGAGGACCGCACCTGTCCAAGTCATAAATAATTTTAGAATATTTCCTAAATTATCAGCCAATGGGAGGCAAGGAAGGATTTGCACAGAAGCTATCCACTTGCAGATTTGTAATCACTACCTTGAATTTAACATTTATAAATAAAGAGGACTCCTCCTCATAAATTCGAGATCGATCATTCTCTGATTTTCAATAGTCAATAGCAAAAACAACCTACGAGAAAGAGACTGACTTGATATTCTCTCTGAATACTCAGTCATTGTACCTCTGTTCGCTATACGAGACCTCTTTGAACGCATTTATATAAAAGAAACAGTGGATATAGAAATCGCTTTAAAGATTTAAACCACTATAAAAATTCTCTATCTCATTTATTATTAAGTTTTTGCATTCAATTTTGTTTGCAACCTTGTCTTAACTCACAAACTAAATTACGTGTAATTTCTAAAACTTTCTTAGCACTTTGCACGTACGACGTTGTTGGTGTCAAAATCAAGCATCAACATTTTATATTTTCTTTATGATGGTAATCCTTCGATGTCCCATGTATATATTATTAAGGTTTGTTTGGTACGACTTTTTTGAGTAGAGCTTATGAAAGAAAAGTTTATAAAATTTGTTAGTTGTTTGATTAATAAATTGTGAAAAAGCTTTCTATTATTAATCTACTAACAATGAATTTGATATATAAGAATAAATCAAGTCAAATTTAAAAAAGAAAAAATGTTTTTGAAATTTTAACATTTCAAATAAGCTCGTAAAAAGCTCACAAGAAAATCTGCAAAAATGAGCTTCTCCCATGAACCTTAAAATATCTTATTTATAAACACTTCTAAAATGCAACCAAACAGCGCAAAAAAAAAAAAAAAAAAAATATATATATATATTATATATATATAATAAATAATTTTAAATAAACTCTTTTAGTCAGAAGATAAGTCTACCCAAACAGGTTTTAATCGAAAAGTTTGATCAAATTATAATCCTTAATTATTCTTCATTATATAATATAATTATTTTTAAGAAAATAATTTATCTACAAAGTCGAATTTATAAGATCTAAATTGATGTTGTATCATGAAAGTGCCAACAGTACTACGGAAATTCATCTCATCGCGCTGATTTTATTATTCTTTAATTGCAATACCGGCCGCTCAAAACAGGAACATTCCAACTTCCATGTGCCACTTCTCTGTCATTTATTGTTTAATTATTTATGCCAATCATGCCTATTTTTTTAATGCCGTATTTTTATTATATAACAAATATATTTTGTATAATTTTCCTAGGTAAGGTTTTGTTAACGATGACATTATGAGATTTTATTATCATTTTATAGTCTACCTTTAGATATATTTATAGATAAAACCACTTTTCTTTAACATTAAATTGAGGAAAAAATATATCATTGATGTTAATTTAGTGTCCTACGATTGATATTCAGTGACGGGAAGTTATGCCTTTCCTTAAACAACTTAGGAATATTATTAATGTATGGAGGTTGATCAATAATTCATTTATTTTTTATGTAATGCACAGAGACTTGATCAATAATTCCTATATTTTTATGTGTTGTGTAGAGGCATGTTCAATAATTGTTATATATATTTACATGAATTTTCAATATATTTGTCCTGATCACACTAAAAAAAAAATAACTCAATTATTTAGATCCTTATTAAAAGTCCAAGATCCAATTTTCCTAACACCAACCTTTCATAAAGCGATCTGCTTTAATTTGTATTTGTACACTTAATAGAGAAAAAAAAATCATTGGTTAATGGAAAAGAACTAATAATATAAAAACTCTTTGTTATGCCTGAAACGTTAGGGCTAACGTGAAATCTTGTCAGCAAGAGCCAATTAGGATTCAGAAAAGTTTTATGTCGTCTAGGCATTGCCACGTCGCGCAGTGACAGAAGAGGTATGGTTCTTGTCAGTGCAATAAGTGAATGTCAGGCTCGCGAGTGGCCAAGGATTATCCACTTGCCCAAGCTCTATGCAATTTGATGATATTTCTCGTTCAGATAACTAATAGGACGCAAAGAAGGATTTGCACGGCACCTACCCACTTTCAGAATTGTAATTATTACCTTGAACTCTCCTACTATAAATAAAGGACACCTCTCTCATTTACGAGATTGGCTAATCTTAGACTAAAACAGCTTACACATTTTCTCTCTCTCTCTCTCTCTATCTATCTCTCTCTCTATATATATTCCCTTTAGATTATAACTCAACTCGCCACACACGCCTGATTTTACCCATTTATTAATACAATAGCAGTGGACATAGGATTCGCTTTTGAGCATCCGAACCATTTTAAATATCACTTCTCATTTGTTGTTTCATTTTGTTTTTCCTTATCATGTGTGATTTCTAAATCTGATTAGCACTTTGCACGTGAGAATCGTTGGTGTCAAAATCAAGTATCAACAATTTTGCGCTAGAAGGTGGGCCAGATTTAGTATCCGCTTTTCATCAGAAATCTTTGACTAGTCGTCCTACCAATCAGCAAATGGCTTGCGGTTTCGAACTTGAGTGAACCAACTATGACAATGAGGAAATCCCCCAGGTACAAGAGGATACTTCTCCCAAAGTGTTGCCAATTCAAGAGTATCATGGCAAATATTCCTTCAAACTCATGGCTCGACCCAACCATCATGAGTTACCTAGAGAGGTTCAATAATACTCTCCAAATAGTTGGCCAAAGGCTAGACCGTTTGGATCGGGTCGTGCTACCAGAATCCAATGAGGCGGTGCCATCACCAAAAACCCCTGCAGGTCGCACGAAAGCGTGGAAAAGGGCAAAAGTCCATACCACGCACACTACAGTGCATCAAAGAAGGGGAGAGCAAATGGCAAACAGTCGACCAGAGAGCTCCAAGGGACCAGTGAACACCGGTC